GAGGGCCTTCCCCTTTTCACTAACCCTCCACTTTACCAGGCATGATATCCTTCTCCAGGGAATGGTCCCTTCTGACAACATGACTGAAGTAGGTGAAATGAAGTCTGGCCATTCTCGCTTCCAAGGAGAATTCCAGCTGCACTTCTTCCAGGACAGCTCTGTTTAAGTGCAAATCAATGATGATAACATATAATCAGTCAAAAGAAATTTTCAAAGTCAGCTTGAGCAATTTCATCTTTAATCATAATCTCAATTATCTGGATTATTCTGAAAGTTCACAGAATTTTAAAATTTTCCCCATTTGTTTTACTCGACAAATATACTTATGTGTGTTTAATGTAAAATTAAACATAGTTGTTATGCTACGGTTATTAAACATGGACGAAAATAAAGTTAACCTCATCCTTTGAAACACCAGTTATTTATCCAGTTCTGCTGCCAGCTAGGCTTGTGATAATAAGCAAGTGCCTGAGCAGTCTGGACCACAGATTTCTCACCTATAAAATACAGAGTGGGGCCTCAGGATCTCTAAACTCCCCTTGCAAGTCACAGTCTAATATTTTGGGACTCTATTATTTTACTAATTAATATAGAATGTTTCAACTATGTCATAATTTTTCTTTTTTTAGTACCTGAAAGAGGTTCTTGGATGCAAATCATTATTTCTGCTCTTACATTTTCCTTCATATTTCTTCAAATGCAGCAAGGGCCTCCCACACAGTAGGAGCTCAATAATATTTGATTAATCCTTTACTTGAATTGAGTTCCTTTTATCTCACATTTGAACATTAGTTTCATTTTTCTCTGCTATATAAAGTTGAAAAAAGTGGACTGCATTGACTCACCATTTTACAGGACTGAATACTTCACACCCATACAATGCTTTGGTGGTATAGTGCCTAAGGCATTTGACTGCTAACCAGAAGGCTGATGGTTCAAACCCACCAGCCACTCCTCGGAAGGAAGGTTGGGCAATCTACTTCCGTAGTGATACCACCTCGGAAACCCAAGGAGGGGTCGCTGTGGGTCGGATCCAACTCCATGGCCGTGGGTTTGGTTTTGGTTATACAATACTTTGGTATCATAAACTCTTCATTTAAAGCCCATTAAAAAATGAACTGATTACACTTAAGCTACACAAAATCCTGTGAAATAGATATTATTCCCATTTTACAAATGAAAAGACTAAGACTCACAGAGGACAGATTTATTGTTCAAGGTCAGAGAATTAGTTAGTAGAAAACTCAAATCTTAAACCTCAGCCTTCTCCTTCTGGGAATACCAGAAGGACTAGTGTTAGCCTTGTGTCAAGTTGCTCCTGAGGTCTTCTGAACTCACTACATATCAGGGGCCTCATGACTACACACCCAGCCAGACTTCCTGTGGTTGGTGAAATCTCTATGTTTGTTTTTTCAGGCTTGTTAACTGAAATTCAATGTAAATCTAAAAGACTGAGAAAGAACGTGAAACAGCGTGCAGATCAGCCCATTAATGAAGACAGTGAAGGGCGCGACTTAAGACAAGTGACCTCTACAACTAAATCCTGCAGGGTAATAAGCGGGGTCTGTTGAAGCCAATGGGAGCTAAACTTCTAGGCTTAGTGAGCTAGCTGGGAGGTTTTGAATTAGGGCCATAGCCACAGGCAGAATTCCCAATTCAACAGCATGTTAAATGAATTTCTTCTTTTCTTTTTAACCAAGAGAGTAATATATACTTTGGTGTTGGAATTCAAATAATAGCAGTGTTTGAAGCAAGGAACTGTGGACTCAGTTCCTTGCTCAGTTCCACTCAGATTACCCAGAGGGGGCCAGTGGGAATGGCTTAGTATATGAAACGAATTTTGCAAACTGAGTTTTGATGACCATTTTTCTTCTGTCATTGAGAAAGTAGGTTCAAACTGGGAAGGATGTGGTCTGAATAGAGGCTTCTGGGTTAGTCCATTTCAATGGGTGAAACAGGGTGCATGCACATCTGTGGGCCAAAAGAGAAACACCCTTCCCACTGAGGTCACAAATTACTCAAGAAATCTTTTGAGAAACTTGGGACAAAATAATAATGCAGAGGAAGTGTGTATAGGATGATACACTGTGAAAAGCACAGGGCATTTGGAGGAACTTTAATTGGTCATAAACTAGAAACCCAGTAAGTCATAAAGGTTCAGGTCATTCTCTTCTCAATATTTATTATGCTAAATGTATCCACATTTAGTTTTTCAAAGATATCATTTTGTGTTCATTTCAGAAAAAAATACTTTTATATAAAATACTATTTTACCTTAGTGCTTCATCAATAGTACTCTGATAGGACGGAGCAAAGAGTTGACACAATTATTCACACTCTTTTAAAGGTAT